CACAACATCTTTGTTGGTATGTGGTGCTGCTGAGGATCGAACCCGGGCCGCACGCATGCTAGGCGAGCGCGCTACCGCTTGAGCCACATCCCCAGCCCCCATATTTAAACAATTTTAAATTCATCCTTTAAATTATTACTCTGTAGACTAGGAAAATAAATCTCAAAATTCTATAAGTATTTTCTTCTATTTCAATAACCAACATAAACATTCAAGTTTACTTTTGCTGTTTTACAACCTAGGACTTCATTTGCTAACTATTTGGTGTTTCTCTCCTCTCTCCACACACAGACACAAGGATATATATGTATGTGTGTATATAACATAATCTATCATCTTTTACCTACCATGTAATTCACAGGCCAAGTCCATGGAAGGAAATGAGTTCACCAACAATTTTGAAAATCCACTCTTTCTAATAAACAAAACTTCAAAATAACAAGAGACATGATTGAAATGAACCAAACAACTGCCATAAGCCACATTTTGAGATTGTTTGCTCTCTCAGGAAAATGATTCCTTCCTTGTCAGGAATAACTTCCTTTTTTTTTTTTTTTTTTTTTGGTACCAGAGATTGAACTCACAGGTACTTGACCACTGAGCCACATCCCCAGCCCTATTTTATATTTTGTTTAGATACAGTATCTCATTGAGTTGCTTAGTGCCTCGCTATTGCTGAGGCTGGCTTTGAACTTGCAATCCTCCTGTCTCAGTCTCCCAAACCGCTGGGATTACAGGCTTGAGCCAACTCGCCCAGCAGAACATGCCCAGCAAAAATAACTTCCTTTATATACAGCTAAAATGAATCAACTTTGGTCTAAAGCCACTTGTGTAGTTAAAAGATGGCCTGAACATTTTTGGATGTGCAGGGAATTACAACCTACTCATGTAAAAAGTTCCTGTCTGGAGACCAGAAGGGGCCACCTGATGAAAACTGGACATGAGCCATAGCCACTCAGGTCAGGCTGTCTCTTGTACCTCACTTCCTTTCTCTATGTTGCTCCCTTTCGTTGGCTATAAACACAACCTGTTGTGTAGTGGGAAAGAGCTTCTTGAAGCATTTTTGGTCCCGACTGCTGCCTAATTCAAGAACTGGAGATAAAGCCGATTAGCACGGCACAGCTAGATTTGCTGAAACAGTCTCTTTTCACAACACCCTTCCTCCTCCCCACCAAAGAGAGTTCATAAACAAGTCACTCTGAAATAATTATAGTCAAACTCACCTATTTGTATATTTGAGGTTTTAGAACCCCCAAAGAAAAATTAATTTCTATAAAAGAGGCAAAAATATACACTTACTGTTATTACCATCAGTGTCGAGTAATGACTGCCACTTTGAATCTGTACTTTCACAATATGAAATGCTGGAATGACAGGTTCTACTGGATTCTTCTGTTTTCAAAATGTTAGCAATACAGCTGGAGGAATTAACTAAATTTACCATGCAAGATGTTTTCTCAACAGGCAGAAATTGTGAGGTTAGACTTAAAATGTCATTTTGCCTCTTATCAAGTGACTCTGAATTGGAGTTTGCTTCTAAATTGGAAACCATCTTATCGATTCTCTTATCATTCAAGGTATTTTGAACTACAGGACTCAATACGTCGGGCGGGCAGCAAATAGGTTTTAGATTATAATTATCTTCCAGTTCAAAAAAAGATCCTTTCACTTTTGTCTGATATTCAAGATGAGTTTCAGAAGTGTTCTGGGAATCTTCTGCCCTTTGTATAAACAATTTGCTGGGAGAATCTAATGTTCTTCTTGGCTTTTGGTAATGACACACAACTTGTTCATCAATATGATCCAGTCTTGTTTTTGAATCAACAATTTCTTCTACTGGTTTTACTAAATTCTTAGGAACCACTATACTTTTCTGTGAGAACACTGAATTTTTGTTAGAATTGAGTGAGGAATCAACATTTTCAGAATGTTTACACTTGCTAGTTATAACCCCAGTACTTAAATTCTGACTACCACTCGGAACATTACTCCCAAATTCTGCTGTTCTCAGAGCTTCAACATTCTTAGACTTATTCAAGATCTCTACTTGCTTCCGGCAACTTGTAGGCATTGTTTTTTTGGCTTTTAATATTTTCCGTTTACTTCTATCTGGACTTGCCATCTTTCATATCCTAGAATTTAAGATATCATATTTAAATGCATTTCTCCACTAAGTTTATTTCACAATATTAAAAATAGTGTTAAAAGACTATCTCTATAGATTTAATTAATTATATTTTCATCTGTCAATGAAAATAAAAAAATAATTTCAATATTTATTTACAGTCCAAAAACAAGTTAACAAAGTTTTCTTTGGCAACACTATAACACCCCATAAATAGAAAGAATCCACATGCCAGTCAGTAGCACACTGGAATACTGATGTATAGGATAGTTGCACAGTGAAGTACAATTAACAGTAACTGCTCTTTCATTATACACAATAGTATGAGTTGCAAAAGCCTAGAGTTTAAATGAGCTAGACCAGTGTGCACTGTCCAATTTCATCTTAACAAAGATCAAGAACAATTACTGTATGTGTTAAAAAAAAAAATCAAAGTGAATATCGACCTGAAAGAGAACCAGCTAGACTTCTTTAAGTTTGGGGAAAATTTGTTTGTTGATATAGGTGAAGGTTTTATGAATGTGTTCAGTCTGTGAAAATTATCAAACACAATGAGAATTTCTGTACTTTCTTATTATGTACAACATTTAAGAAAAAGAAAATCTGATAGTTTGCTCTGAAGCGACTTAAAACATATAACAAAATAATTGTAGACTTGGCTCTACAGCAGAATTAAATATATCCAAAGTTATTCTTGAATGTGTATGTAATATAAAAGTAAGGTAAAATCTGGGGCAGAAAATTCTAAATTAAATGAACAAAGATGCAAAAAAGGATAAGGTTGAAAGTAAGGAAAAGGTAGCTTTCTTTACTTCAGATAAGGATACAGTCAGATGATACTGTTTCACTCTTGACCCCAATCATTAGCAAAATGCTCTCAAAGAATGCTTTTAGGAAATCTCCCCCTGCCTCACATTGGTGATTGAACCCACAGGCACTCTATCACTGAGCTACAACCCTTTTTATTCTTACTTAGAGACAGGGTTTATATCTTCCAGCTTACAAATTCTACTTTAAGTGGATGGCAACCCAAGAATTCCAATCCATCCACACAGCTGAGAGCAATGTCTACCTCCTTTAGATAAGTCAAGATGAAACATTTTACACTAAGCAGGGTCATTGTCCCATGCCAGTCTCAAGTTCCCATAGTAAATAAATCTTCACCCCTCAACAACCCTTAAGATAAAGGGATAAATGTCTGAGAGGTATGAATGGGACAGGAATTTGGGAATAAAGAAAAAGATACTGAGTCTCAAAGGAAACACCCATGAACCACTGAGATGCAAAAGTACCTGGGAAAAATTGCCCACCTCCCGATCCACATGCCCTTGCCCACACCCTTGTAACACAGGAAAATGCTCAAGTCCAGGGAAAACTGGCATGATATTGTGTAGCTCCACTCTACATCCACCTCTAGTTATAGAGTTGCTCTCTCCCCTTTGGAGAGAGCAAACATTCTCTCTTGAATATCTACTCCTTGCTTTACCCTAAAGGCATATCCTGAGACTGCCCTCATTCTCACTTGACTATAGATCTACTTTCCTAAATAAACAGTTGTCTATGCCTTTATAAACAAATAAATGAATGAATAAATAACATAAATGGCACTATTGTATTAAATAATAGAGAAAATAACATAAGAACAATTGAAAAAAGTAAAACAATAACAGTGAATAAAACTCAGAAGGCATAGAAATCAAAGATAAAGATTTTGTCATTTCTAATAAATGTAAATGGGTTAAATTCTACTAAAAAACATGAGGTTAAAGTATTCATATTGTTTACAAAAGAGCTAAAAAAGCAAACTGATAAAAATGTTAAAAGGTAAAAGGATGGGTAATATTAATATTCAGCAGATAAAAAATTAATTAATATTACTTTATGTTTTCAAAATTTAAATGAATGGTGAAGCTGAATCAGTGGCACACATCTGTAATCCCAGCAACTCAGAAGGCTAAGGTGGGAGGACCACAAATTTGCAGCCAGCCTCAGTCATTCTGATGCAGGACAGATAGGGCTGGATGTGGGAGACTAACCTCACATGTGACTGAATCATACTCACCAGCTGGGTGCTGAGGCGCTCAGTCACAGAAATGTGGCAAAGATTTCCCCACCCTTCTTGGGTTCCAGGGTGCATGGGTGTGTCTTGCTAAAGCCCCATGGGTGAAGCTAGGCTCACCTGTTCCTTTGTAACATAACCCCTTGCCCTATTTAGGATAGAATCTTCCATGGAAGTGCCTTGCGTGTGTCCCCTCCTCTTACTTTGCCCTTGGGTGTGGCCTACCCAGGTGTCAGTCAACTGCTGACAGTGGACATCATGAAGATAGACTCACTCTCTTTCTGTGGACCCTTAAGGTCAGAGGAGCCGTCATAGCAACCCCAAAGAAGAAGATATTTGTGTCTCTTGTGTGGTTATTTCGTGCAGCCCAGTCAGCCCAGTTTACCTGGAGTGACCCCTGAGAGAACAGAAACCCAGCAGCTGGATACCCAAGGAATTTTCAAGAAGCAGGCTTAATTACGCTGCAGTGTTCCAGTGGGGCTGCTGCCAAGAAAATCGATGGACCCAGAGTCTGGAAATTCTTTGACATTTATACTTAGGGGGTGGTTACATAACAGCGACTCTCTGTTCCACATTCTTAGATTGGACAGAGGTTTCACAAATTTCTACCAAGGAAAATAGAAAGGGAAAGCTTTTACAAAAAAGAGAAAGCTTCAATCCACAATGAGTTCTCTGCAAAAATCCTGTTGATATTCTTTGTTTTGTTTTTGGTTTAACAATCTTGCTTACAAGGAGCGAAACTTGTTATGATTGTGGTTGTAGGGGTAGGAGTCTTCTGGACTACATTAATTTAGCAAGGTCCTCAGCAATTTAGTGAGATACTGTCTTAAAGAAGGGCTGGGACGTAGCTCAGGGCTACACCCCCGGATTCAATTCCCAATATCAAAACAAAAACAAACAGAATCCAGCAAAACAACTGCACACCTAAGGGGAAAAATGAAACTAGATCCCTTCCTCTTTCTACATGCTAAAATGAATTCTTAGATGATTAAGACAAACCTCTTAAACTTGAAGAAAAAATATAGGAAATTTATCTTTTACACCAAGTACCACAGGAAAAGTATCCTGACTCCAAAGATCTCTGAAAATGTGCCTTATGTGACAGCAAAGGATTTAAGCTGGCTGAAAAGAATCAGAAATTCTGGTGATGCACAAAATTAGACCAACTAGTTGCTTTTTATTCTCCCAGAAATAAGCTGAATTTTACTAAATGTTATGTAACAGTTACCAATATTTACATTCCGTATGCTTTTACTGGCAGTTTTACTATCTTCTGTAAGCAATCTCCTGCACAGAATTTTCCAAGTGAATTACCTCTCTCCTCAATACCCTAAATTTGATCAACTGTCAAGTATAAACACATTAATGATTAGTTTTTTCACACTGTTTGTGAACTTTGGCCTAACTATAAGTTAAGCAGACATTCTGCATTACTATATATTTTTGTCATTGCACAGCCATGATGTATAGCAACATAACCTCAGATAAACCAGATCAGTAAGTGCTTCTGTACTTCACAGGTCATCATGTGGTAAGAAAAACAAGCACTGAGAGGAAGAGAGATAGAGAATAAATTTGACAATACTGAAGTTAGGAAGAGCAAAGAGAAACCAAAAATGCACAGAGATACCTGTAATTCCTGTTCATTAAGTATTGTTTAAAAATAAATGAGAGAGCTGGGAGTGGGGGGTTGCTCAGTGGTAAAGTACTTGCCTAATGTGTGAGTCCTAGGGTGGGGTGAGGGAGTGTGGTGGTGGTTGCCTGAAACCCCAGCAACACAGTAGGCTGAAACAGGAGGGTCAAATGTTTGAAGCCAGACTTGGCAACTCAGTAAGACCTGCCTCAAAATAAAATAAAAAGGGCTGGGGATGTAGTCCAGAGCTTTTCTAGCTTGTGCTAGGCCTTGGGTTAATCTGTTTGCTAACCAATCAAATAATGAGAAAAGACAACTCAAGATAAAATGAACAAGACATAGCAGAAAGTTTTATAGAAATAGAAACATATATATAGACAAAAAATAAATGAAGACATGCCATGAGCTAGGGAAAGGCAAATTAAGACCGATATAATTCTATATCCAAATAGATAAACTGGTAAAACCCAATACGGTTAATACCGAAGCTCGAGAGGGTATGGATCAGTGGTAATTCTTACACATTGTTTTTTACGGTGTGAACTGGAGAAAAACTAATTCAGAAAACAATTGGCTATCTTAAAAAGTTGAGCATTGTATACCTTATTGATACCCAACAAACCCACACAACAAAAGCTTATACTTATGTACCTTAACACAAAAATGTTCAGTTGGGTGTGGTGTTGCACACCTGTAATCCCAGCAACTCAGGAAGCTGAGGCAGGAGAATCACGAGTTGGAGGTCAGCCTGGGCAACTTAGCAAGACCCTGTCTCAAAAAATAAAAAGGGATGGGGGGATAGCTCAGAGGCAGAATGCCCCTAGGTTCAATCCCCATTACTATAAAGGGCAAAAATCAAAACAAATAAAATAGTTCAACAGCAGCAATAATAATAACAACAACAACAAAAAAGAACTGCACATTATGCAAACAAACTTTAGACACAATCAGATAAACAAACTTTGGTATATTAATCCAGTGGATCAGTACAATGCCGTGAAAATGAATCAATTATTACTATATACAACCACATGGATAAGTTTTGGAAATATTTATGAAAAACAATTATTAGAAAACTATATTTAACTCATAAATACAATTAAACAATGTTATGTGTGACATTTATAATAAAATTACTCTTTATAAAAAAAATCAATGCAATATGGCAAAGAGTAGGAAGCATGGTATGGAGAAACAAGAAGGCAAATTCAAGTGATTGGTAGTATTCTACATGTTTGGGTCAAAGATTTTAATGTTATTATACTTCATAATTTATATATTCTCTTTGTTACATTTTCTGCTGATAATAACAAAATACCACAGACTGCACAAACTATAATCAGGTTTATTTTGGCTCACAGTTATGATATAAGGTCAAGAGTTCTTGTAGCTGTTGGAATCCAGGTGCTGCAGGTTATTAAGTGGCAAGAGACAGGGAATCAATGTGAGACCCAGCCCAACAGGCTTTTACAGCAAACCCAATCCTGAGACAACTTATTAACCCATTCACCTACTATGGTGCCTCTCTAGTTAGCCTTTGAGAATAGCCAGAATGTTTTTCAAAGCATTTTAAAATTTGTTCTAGTTAGTTCATGAGAGCAGACGGACACAAATGGAGCACAATTTTTCATTCCTCTGGTTGTACACAGTGTAGAATCGCACCACATGTGCAGTCATACATGCACCTAGAGTAATAAGTTCATCTCACTCCACCATCCTTCCTGCCCCCACGCCCCTCCCCTTTTTTGCAGCATATGGATCAATCTGCATTTACAACAGGAGTTAAGTTTACAAGTATTTTAATCAATCTGCATTTATCCTAGGAGTGACTGAAAGTTCCAGTTCTAACTGGGGCCTCACTGTTATAATTCGCATTTCTCTGATGGCTACTGATATGATTAGCTTTCTGTCTTTGTGGCCAAATACCTCATATAAACAACTTAGAAGGAGGAAAAGTTTTACCTTGGCTCACAGTTTCATGGCTGTTGGGTGCCATTGTTTTCGGCTGGTACCAAGGCAGAACATGATGGCAGGGGGAACTTAGTGGAGCAAAGTGCTCACCTCATGGCATCCAGGAAGCAAAGACACAGACAGGAACAGGCTAAGGTCCCAATGTCCTTTTCAAGGGCACATGCAAATGACCTAAATTCCTTCCCCTAAACCCCGCCTCCTAAGAGTTCCACCACCTCCCACCAGCAGCACAGGCTGGGGATCAAGCCTTTTGCATATGGCCACTGGTGGATATTGAAGATCCAAACCATAACAGATGTTGAGCACTTCTTCACATATTTCTTGATGACTTGTATATTTTTAGATAAATGTCTATTCAGGCTCTTTTGCACATTTAAAAATTGTGTTATCTGCCCTTTTTATTACTGATTTGCGAGAGTATTTTGTCTGTTACCTTCTTAGATGATTTATAAACTTTACCTTCCATTCTATTGGTTACCTTTTCAATTCCTGGTAGTGTGCTTTGAAGAACTAAACTTGTAAACTTTGATACAAGTTCACCTTTTTTCATGTTGGTTGTACTTTTTTTGGTGTCATATCTAAAAAAAAATCACTGTTTAATCCAAGATCGTAATAATTTGCCCATTTTTTTTATACCTTCTACTTTTTATTTTTGGAATAAAATAATTGAACTCAGGGGCATTCAACCACTGAGCCACATCCCCAGCCCTGTTTTATATTTTATTTAGAGACAAGGTCTCACTGAATTGCTTAGCGCCTCGACATTGCTGAGGCTGGCTTTGAACTCTTGTTCCTCCTGTCTCAGCTTCCTGAGCCACTGGGACTACATGCAGGTGCCACCATGCCCAGCCTATACTTTTAGCTTTTATGTATAGATCTATTATGCATTTTGCGTTAATTTTTTAATATGGTGTGAGGTAGTGGTTCACATTCATTCTTTTGCAAAGTGAAGAGCAAGTTGTTTCAGCACAATCTGGAAAGGGCATTCCTTCCCCAATTGAACTGTTTGAATACTCTTACACAAAAACAAATTGTCCGTAAATGTGCAAGTTTGTTTCTGGATTGTCCTTATACTTACTGGACAGTCTTGGTTTCTGCAGCTGTGTGCTTAGTTTTGAATTCAAGATCTCTGTGTGTTCTCTTAACTTTTTATTCTTTTTGGAATTGTTTTATGTTCCCATAAAGAATTTGGGACCAGATTATCATTTTCTGGTAGGATTTTTTGGAGTGGGGGTACTGGGGATTGAACCTATGGGTATTCAACCACTGAGCCATATCCCAAACTCTATTCTGTATTAGAGACAGGATCTCACTGAGTTGCTTTGTACCTTGCCACTGCTGAGTCTAGCTTTGAACTTCTAATTCTACTGTCTCAGCCTCCAGAGCTGCTGGGATTACGGGCACGCACCACTGGACCCACAGACAGGTAAGATTTTATTAAGAAGTGTACTGAGGTCAGGTGCGCATCTGCAATCCCAGCTACTCGGGAGGGTGAGTAGGCAGATGTAATATTAAAGGCCAAACCCAACAATTTCTCAAAAAGAAAATGAAAAGGGCTGAGGTTGTGGCTCAGTTATAGAGAGCTTGCTTAGCACGTTTGAGTCCCAGGATTCAATCCTCAGTAACATTGGAAAATAAAGAACAAAGAACTATGTTAAATTTGTAGAACAATTTAGGGAGTATTATTTTTTTTTTTCAATTAACATCTTGCTATTTGTGGGCTGGGGATATAGCTCAGTTGGTACAGTGTTTGCCTTATATGCACAAGGCCCTGGGTTCGGTCCCCAGCAACATATACACATACACACATACACAAACATATACAAAAAAATTTCACTATTTGTGAATTTTAACATTAATTGCCTTAGTTTAATTTTTTTCCCCAAGAATGCATTGTTTTTAACTTGTAACATCGTATTATAAAATAGATCTTGAAATTCCCATTCTTTCTTTCTTCGAGACAGTGTCTAGCTGTTTCCCAGACTAGTCTCAAACTATAAATTCCTGCCTTAGCCTCCAAAGACGCTGGGACTACAGATGCTTGCCACTGTACCTAGTCTTTGAACTTATTCCTCCTAAGTTTAATGATATATCTTCTCACCCACATCATCCAACTTTGTCCTCTCCCACAACCCCTCATAACCTTCTCTTTGCTTTTATGAGTTAAACACTTTTAGAGTCCAGTATTTGTATACATATAGCTTATTTCACTTAACACAAAGGTCCTATTGGCTCATCAATGTTGTCATAAATAATGATTTCCTTCTCTTTTTTTTAAGACAGTGGTATATATATACACATGTATATTTATACTGTATTATATTTATGTTTATATGTTCTGTGTAATAAATATATACACCAATACATCCCCCAAATTTTCTTTCTTTCTCTATTTTCTTACTAGTACTTAGCACTGAACCTAATGGTTTTCTACCACTGAGCTATATTTCCAGCCCTTTTTATTTTCTGAAACAGAGTCTAAATAGATTACCAGCACTGGCCTCACACTTGTGATCTTCCTGCCCCAGCCTCCCGAGTAGCTGAATTACAGCATGCACCACCACTGCTGGCTCAGGTTTTCTTTATCCACTCTACTGATGGACACTTATGCTGATTCCACATCTTGTCTATTGTTAATGCTGCAATGAACACAAAAGTATAGTTATTTCTTTTTGACATCAGGATTTCACATCCTTTGGATGTATAGCAATTAGTGGGATTATAGAGTTAATATAGTAGTTCTACTTTTGATTTTTTTAAAAATATATATATATTTTTTATTTACATTTTAGTTTTCGGCAGACACTTTGCATGTGGTGTTGAGGATCAAACCCGGGCTGCACCCATGCCAGGCGAGTGCGCTAACGCTTAGGCCACACTCCAGCCCCTACTTTTGATTTTTTTGAGGAAATTTCATATTTCTTTCTATGATGGCTAAACCAATTTACAGTCCCACCAGTACTGTTCAGGGTTCCCTGTTGTTCACACGCGGCCCAAGTTCATCCTTTATCATTTTGATAATACCCAAAATAACAGGTATGGGTGATATCCCATTGTGGTTTTCCTTTCTTACCCTCATGACTAGTGATGTTGAGGGCTTTTCATAGACCTATTAGTTGTTTATATGTCTTCTTTGAAAAGATGTCTATTCAAGTCCCTTAGTCATTTTTTATTCAGGTTATTTGGGTTTTTTGTTTTCTCACAACTGAGTTTTTTCAGTTACTTATAAATTTTTGGAATAATAAATGTTAAAATTATTGTCCAAAGTGATCTCCTGAATCAATGCAGCCTTTCAAAACTTCCAATGACATTTTTTCACAGAAGTCTTTTTAAAAATCCTAAATACTCAAAGGCATCCTAAACAAAAACAAAGCCAAGGCATCACACTGATTCCAAAATATACAACAAAGCCATAGTAATCAACAGTATGGCACTGCAGTAAAGAACAGACACAAAGACCAAAGAAATGGAATAGAAAACCCCAAAATAAATCCACACATGGACAGTAAACACAAATTTGACAAGTAGGCAATAACACTCAATGGACAAAGTGCAATCTCTTCACTAAGCATTGGTAAAAATAGACAATCCACAAACAAAATTATGCTATCTTCTCATACCACACACATACATCAATTTATCAATTTATCATACACATACATCAATTGTCAAGTGTGATGGCACATCCCTGTAATCCCAGCTACGTGTGAGGCTAAAGCAGGAAAATCACAAGTTCAAGGTCGGCGTGGGAAAGTCATGGAGACTTTGTCTCAAAAACCAGAAAGGAGCAACTATAGCCCAGTGGTAAAGAGCCTCTGATG